CATTTTTAAATGTGGCTAAATAGCATTTTTTTGTAGTGTATGCAGTGCGGGAACGAGATGATGAATCAAATTAACGCGGAAGCTGAAAAGGCAGAATTTGATAGATGGTGGATATAGTAGGAGGTGAAAAAAGTTCCATGTGAACCAAAATCCCACATTAAATCTAGGATTATGTTTTTATTTTAATTTTTTTTTCCTTCCTTATCTAGTTATATTGAACATTTGTTACATGATGAGGAGAATCATGAAAGCCATTGCTGGTTGCTATATATATTTAATAAGTTATCCAGGACATCAGCGTTATCCTTGTTGATTGCCAAGACTGATCCTGACTTTTTACATGCTATTTAGTTGGATAAAATTGAGCAAGATTTACAGGTGTATTATTCACTGTATCCCCATTTTCCTAGTCTGTGTCCGCTAGATTATTATTACCATTAGCTGAGGTTCTTTTTTAGGGAAATTAATGGGAAAAAAATTAATTTAATGCTTTTATATAAAATAATTATGTCTTTATTACAGTTTTAGAATTATTACGGATCTATTGCACAATGTGGCTCTTTTTGAGCGTCACATGTGACGCCTCATTTAGGCGTCTCACCCCAATGAGACGTCTCTCATAAGGTGTTGACACGTGTCATAATTTTTTTCCAAAAAAAAAAATAATTTAATCATAAAACTTCTGAAGGTCATAACTTTTGATTCGGGTATCCAATCCAGGTAATTCTTTTTTTGATTCCATATAACTTTTCGAGATCTACGCAATGACATCTCATTTGAAATATTTTATTACTCACAAACACAATTTTAATTTGCAAAAATGGTATTATAAGAGCGGTTAAACTCAGAAGCCTCTGAGTTCTGGATTTGCGATTTAATATAAATAAATAAATAACATTTTGATTTGTGATTTAAATTTTTTTTATAATAAATTTTGTTATTATAACAAAAATTTGGTTTGTGATTTAAATTAAAAATAAAATAAAAATTATTATTAATAAGGAAAACAAAATAAAGATTTGATTTGTGATTTAAACTACAAAATCAATTTGAAAAATCTGTAGAAATAAAGAAAATAATTAAATAAATATTCTAAATCTCTAAGGAAGAAGGATATTATTTTTGAAATTAATGATTAATGTTATAAGCTTCTGGGGTATTACTCGTGGTCTAAAATTAATGATGGCTTATGAATGTTTTTCAAAAATAAAATTACCTAAATTAGGCGTGATCGCCTCTTGATTGAAACCCAATTTAGACGTGATTGGTAACATGTCAAGTGTTGCCACATGTCACATTTTTAAACTCAGAAACCTCTGAGTTCTGCGTTTGTGATTTAATATAAAAAATAAATCAAGATTTGATGTGTCATTTAATTTAAAAAATAAAAAAATTATTTTTATTACAAAAAAAATTTAGTTTGTGATTTAAATTAAAAGTAACAATTATTATTAATGAGAAAAATAAAATAAAGATTTGATTTGTGATTTAAACTCAAAAATCAATTTGAAAAATCTGTATTAATAAAGGAAATAATTAAATAAATATTCTAAATCTCTAAGGAAGAAGGATTATCTGATTTAAATTTAAATTATGTTTGTGAGAAATAAAATATATCAAATGAGATGTCATTGTGTAGATCTTGAAAATTTATGTGGAATCAAAAAAGAATTACCTGAATTGGATACCCGAGTCAAAAGTTATGGCCTTCAGAAGTTTTATGATTAAATTATTATTATTTTTGGAAAAAATATGACACGTGCAACACGTCATGAGAGACGCCCCATTGGGGCGTCACATGTGACGCCTAAAAGTGATGTCACATTGTGCAATAGATCCGTAATTATTTTCAAAACGATAATAAATGCGTAATTATTTTATTAAAAAACATTACATTAATTTTTTTGCCGAAATTACTGCGCTAAGTCTTTATTCTCCGTAATGTTAATGTTGACGTTGAACTAGAAGCTAGTAATAATTTAAATTGAATCTTTTATTTATGGGTTTTATTAATCTCATGTTAAAGGAGATAGTTATCTTCATATCATAGAGATAAATTTGTGAGCTCCACCGCCTGAAAAAATAAAAGAAAAGAAAAGAAAAAAGTAACACGGTTATCGAAGGGTGTGTAGGAGAGAAAACTGAGTAGTTTTTCCCTTTTATTATACATCAAAAGGATGAAAAACAAACAAAAGAAAATGCACAAATTAAACAAAAAAAAAATTAAACACACAAGCTATCCCATTATACAGTATTACACAGTATTAACCACTCCCCGTTAAACCCGACTAGCGAGTGTGGGGTGGAGAAAATCCTTGTACGCAGCCTTACCGTTACATAATTGCAAAGGTGTGATCATACAGTATTACACAAATTAAAATTGAAATAGCAGGATTTGATGCTGCCTCCGTACCACCATGGAAAAGAACAAGAGACACCATCCCAGACACTATATATAACATGTACAGTATTACACAGTACTGCACTTGTCCAAAATAAACTTATAGAGAGAACCTGTAAACACGAATTGCAACATCAGAGGAACTAGATGACGCACCATGATATGAGGTGCTACACCATTATCGTTCAAAGAAGTTGCGGTGGTTATTCCAGGAGAAGTACATAAAGAAAATTCTGAAGAGGTTCAACATGGATCAATCCAAGATAGTTAGTACTCCTCTAGCTGGACACTTCAAGTGGAGTCAAAAGCAAGGTCCAAGAAGTGACGAAGAAAGAGATGAGATGAGATGTCAAAGGTCCCATATCATTCAGTTGTATGCAGTCTTATGTATGCCATGATAAGTACGAGGCCCAACCTTGCTCATGCAGTCGGGATTATAAGCCAATTTCTATCAAATCCAGGTAGGGAGGATTGGGATGTTGTCAAATGGATATTCAAATATCTCAAAGGTACAGTAAATAAATATTTGTGCTATGGGACAGGAAAACCTGAGTTAGAAGCCTACTCGGATAGACTTGGGTGGAGATGGCGACTTGAGGAAGTCAACCACAGGTTACATGACTGCTTTTGCAGGGAAAGCCATTTCCTAGCAGTTCAAACTCCAGAAGTGTGTTGCCTTGTCTACTAACGAAGTCAAGTATTTTGTTGCAACTGAAGCTTACAAGGAGCTAGTGTGGATGAAGAGGTTCCTACAAGAGCTTGGCCATAATCAAGAGAAGTATGTGTTGAAGTGTGATAACCAGAGTGCTATACACTTAGCAAAGTACTCAACTTTTATGCATGGTCAAAGCACATTGATGTGCGCTACCATTGGATTCGAGATGTAATAGGAGAGAAGTTTTTGTAGCTCGACAAGGTGCATATCGACCTAAATTGGTCAGACATTAATGGCACCAGTAATTAAACACAGAAAATAGCTCAACAAGAAGGGAAATTAATACTGAAAACCTCATATATTGCTGAAAAGCTACAAACAGAAATTGCAGCATTACAATGGTGCCATTCTATGGACCTTAATTGAATCAGAAAAAAACAACTATCCGTAAATGAACTACCCGCTTGAGTGTTCCAGATTTTCCCCAGCTAAGAGACTGCCCCTGCCTCAATAGCCAACCCCTCTAAAAGCTCAATACAAATCTCATACCCTTTAACCGTTTCCTCGCACACTATATCTGCTCTCTTTCCCTTGCATTTTCCATCCCCCCTTCCACTAATTCCTCTCCATTCACAGCCTGCCATGTGGCATTTTTTATAACCAACTCTCCCTTATTTTCCTGCTGTTCACGTGCCACTAGTTTGCTCCCTTCCTCCTTTCCCTTGCTGCCCTTCCTTTGATATATCTTCTTATAAGGCTCTATTTGAGAACAGCCCACTTGTGGAAGCCCATCAGACATGATGACCAAGACGATTCGAGCATTGAAGTTCGAAGATTGCTGCAAAGGTGCCGACATATAACCCCGTCTAATTAAGTCGGAAAGGGGGAGATTTGTTGGATTTTTCCTCTTGGATTATATGTGACGCTAGCAGCAACTTCAAGTAAGCAAAGTGAGGGAGCCGAAATTGTTGAAGCTCTTTTTTCTTTTTCATTCCAATTTGTCAACATGTTGATTGGTAGCAGCTATTTCGATTGGATGTTATTAGGCATACATACAGCATATTAGGCGGAGCAGTAGCATATTATGCTCAAAGTGGAGCTGATATGCTAGGCAACAAAATAATCTATGATTTTAAGATATCTTGTTAGCAACCACCCGAAGTACTATATATAGGGGCAGATTACATTTGTTCAATGCAAGCAATCTAGAGAGAGAGAGAGTTCCTCTTAGAAGAGAAAGAGAGTTCCACCACTTATGTGAGAAAGAAATCCTTCAAGTGAGAGATAAAAGTATTATAAACCATTCTTAGTGGATGAAGTATTTGTGTGTAAACTTCTAGTCTTGTACTAAAGAGATCATTGTTGTAATCATACTTTCATAGTGAAAGTTTTCTTGGATTTAGTGGTCTCGTGGTTTTTACTCCTCACATTGAAGGGTATTCCACGTTAAAATTGTTGTGTTCTATGTGTGTGTTTTTCTTCTACTTCTTTATTTTCCCATCTTACAGATTTACTTCGCTTTCGCAAATAGAAGTTGTTATTAACCCAACACAAACTACCGGTAAAATTATATGTCAACAAAATGGACAAACAAAAAAATGTATTGAAATAGTCTATAGAGAAGGATTCTGGCACAATACCCAAATACAGCAAAAACATGTTAACAGACATCCTTGGGTAAGTGAAGAATTGAAGAGCAAAATAAGTTGGAATAAGGAACTTGCATGGAGAAGAATTTAGAATTCTAGAATTCTTGGGTTATGACCTTTCTTTTCTTTATTTAATTCGCTATAATAAACTTGGAAGACTCGAGAAGGTTTAATGACCCGACAATGTAAAGACTTCAGAAGACACAGTACAAACTAAAACTGAAACTAGTAGGTTAACGTAAAAATTGTGTGAATAAATTAAAACAGAGAAATATCAACTACAAACCCAAAATTGTTCCAATAACAAATGGATATATATTTTTGTTCATAACTAGTTAATTTCTTTTAATCTCCTCAGGCTCCTGAACTCTTTGAGTCTTTTCCAGTAACTGATGTGCTATTTTTAACTTGCCACACTTCTGAAACACATTTTGAAATGCGTCTCTAGCATAAGCGGATAAATGAATACCCTTTTCAAGCATTGATTTTGTTTTCTCATAAGCAGCATCTAGTTCACCCCGCTTACACAGCTTCTGCAACTTCTGGTTCTCCAATTTTCTTTCCAATTTAAGGCATAGATCCAACTGATCATGCTCTCTCAAAAGACTGTCTACTAAATTGTAAGTGTGAAAATGTGGAATCCAGGCCAAACCCAACATTTCCATTAATAAGTCATAAGCAACTCTCCAGTTCTTACCCTCACCATGAGCATGGATCAAGGCAGTGTACGTTAAAGTATCAGGAAGGCATCTATTCTTGTTCATTATTTCAAAGACCCCAGTAGCATGGTTCAAATTTCCCAATTTACAAAGCATGGATATAACAGAATTGTAAACAACCAACTTCGGCTTTAATCCACGGGCTAACATTCTTCCAAACAAATTACTAGCTTCATCCACTCGGCGGTGTTCGCATAATGCCTTCATAACAACTGAGTATCCCTCTTCAATGCAAGTTAGCTTCCTTTCCTCAACAATCCTCAACACTGCAACAGCTTCTTCTGTATCACCTATGCGACAAAGCTCTAACAATAGCTTGACTACAACAAAAGTACTAGGCAATAAGCCGGAATTAAAAACTGCCCAAAATATTGCAACTGCAGGCTGAATTGCACCCCTATTTCCTCCCATATTAGGAACTAATATAGTATATGGTCTACGAGTATTCCTCACTCTTACCTTCTCAACATACCCTTCTTTTGCACTCATCAAGCACAACTCCCCAATAAGCATGTTGAGCGCAGAACGAGTGGGAAGCACACCAATCTTGTCCATTTGGCCAAAAATTTCAAGAGCTGTCTCTAATCTACCAAGTTTACAAAGACCAACAATCATGTTACTACAGGAATATGTATCAGGTGATTCCATCTTGTGAAAAATTGTAAGTGCAAGCTCAATCATCTCACAAGATGATTGCTTCTTGCAGAGCACATAAAGCATATTATTATACACAAGATTATCAGCCTTACACCCAAATAACGTTTCCATTTCCTCAAACAAGGACAATGCTTCATTGATTCTCCCTTGCCTACCCAAAAACCTGATACAAATAGACAATGCCTTACACGAAACTCGACCCTTTTGAGATGACACTGTCATGAACAAACACTTGATATCATCAAAGAGCTTCCTCCTACCCAAGAAATCAGCCATGTACTCAACCACAGAATCATCAAACTGAAAACCCATCTGAGTCCCTGCCCATGAAAAGAATTTCAAGGTCTTAGCCCTACCCAAGTGCTTGTATCGCATCAAAACCCCAAGCACAAGGTTGGAACTTAACTCTCCCTTGTAACGATTCAAAACAGCATCAATGTTAGTGTCACTTGTGCAAGAGAGATGGTCACAAAGCAAAGAGCAAGTGGTAACAACATGAGAAGATGTTGTCTTGTGGGAAAGATGAGGGAAGGAAGTGGGTTTTGTTGGTACAAGAGATTTGGAGGAAATGGTTTCTGGGTTTGTGAAATTAGGGTGAGTTTTGGAAGATGAAGAGTTATGAAAGGATGCAGAGAGCATAAAAAGACGATTAGTGATAGAAAAAGCACCATATCTAGTCCTACAAAGCATTCCAAAACACTGAAGTTAACGTTGTTTACTTGTTGTTGTTACCGTTTTTCGGAGAACCTTTCATAATCATATCTTCGATTCACTTTTGTCCCTGTGCTTCTGTTTCTTCCTCCATTCTTCGACGAGATGCTGGAATTTCATTTTGGGGAAAAAGTTTTGAAACCCACTATGTTTTTCTTCACTTATCATTCTACGGTTATTTTATTTTATTTTTTGGAAAACTTAAAAAAGAAAAGAAAAAACAAACCCTTACAAGTTTACTCATAAATAGTGTTTTAAAATTCGGACCGGTCGAGATACTGGGTCATTGGTTCAACCGGGTTGAACCGGATTTACTGTTCATATATTAAAAATATTACTTATATTAAAAAAATATTCACATAAAAAAACTATCAATGAGCTTCAAAATATTAATTGATTTTCAATGATAGCAAATATTATACTTTTAAGCTTCTAGCTCTAGACCATATCCTAATATTTGATTAAAATTACAATATAAGTTAAATGCACCTTTTGTGCTTGACATGATACGGATAAATTAAAACATGATAACAAATAGTATGCATGAAATATACACTAAGAAAAAAGTGTCACCATTATCATGATAACAAATAGTATGCATGAAATTTACACTAAAAAAAATTGTTCACCGTTGAGATGAGATCATGAGACTACCAATGTTTATCACCACTTAACTTCATGAGATCATTACAAGATGTAACTAAATTACGTAAACGAACTGCACTAATCTAAAATACCTTATTATTTTCACCTTATTTTTAATTATATTCATTATAAAATATGAATATGATTTAATTCAAGAGTTCTTATAAATAAATAAAAAATTTACCAAAAAAAAAAAGAATAACCGGTCTAACCTGGGTCAACCGGGTCACCAGGTCGCCGCGTTTCGGCCGGGTCATCCGGTCCAATCCGGATTGACTGTAGAAACGGTCCAACTACCCGCTCGGACCGGGAAACCCACCAGGTCACCGAGTCTCGGGTCGACCCGATCGGTCCGAGCCGGATTTTAAAACAATGCTCATAAGTCATAATCATTTATTCTCTTTCTAAAATTTTAAATTATTTATACTTTTAATTTTAAAAAAATTTGTCACTTACTCCCTATATTAGGAAGGTAAATAATAAAAAAAAATTAACTAAGGAGATAAATGATAAAAAACTTTAAATAAAAATATAAATAATTTAAAATTTTGAGAAACAAGTTAAGTGATTCTATAGTAAACTTGTATTAGGTTTTTTGAACTTTACTTTATTTTTTTTATCATTTATGCTATGATTTTTTTTATTTACTCGATCTCTTAATTCTATTAAAAATTAAATTAAACCTGTCTATTTTACCTTTGTAAAAAAAATTATGATAGGAATAAGACTTTTATAGTGTAATATTATTTTTTTGGTAGTTTAGTGTAATATTTTTTTATCCTACTCTGATTGTTTTCTAAAATTTACACCAAATTGTTAAAAAAAATTCATAATGATATTAGAGAAAAAAAAACAATAAAAGCGATAAGTTAGCAGCTAATTTTGATCTTCTAATAAAATAATATTCACTACATTAATAGCAAGAGTAAATGCTTAACTTAGAACTATTATCTTTCTTCTTACAAATTTATATATTTTTACCAGAAAATAAAACAAACATTAAAAAATAAAATAATCAAACCAAAAGTAATAGGAAAAAAAATATGAAAATAAAGTCATAAAAAAATAAACAGAAAATAAATAGTCTAACTAAAAAACCAGAAAAAATAAACAAACATATAATTTATATAATACATAAATACAAAAATGAAATTAAACAGAAAATAAATAGACTAACAGAAAAAACAAACGTATGAATATAAATAATAAAACAGAAGTACAAAAACAAAAAACAACTTCAACAGTTGATTCATATCATAACAGTTGCATTAATTCATATAATAACAAGTATATAATAACAAGTGCAAATATAACTGTGAAACAGAATTAATGCAAATGTAACTGTCAACATTTGTATTAATTCATATTATAACAGTTGACAGTTACACTGCAAATGTTCTGTTTGCAGATTCCTCATTAATTCATAATAAATGTAACTAACTTACTATTGACCACTGAGCAAACTTATTATATATAGAGGGTAATAATCTTTGCTGGTTGTGTATTAGAACAAGCTCAACCAGGGATATTATTGTATGCAATGGGTAGCATAGAACTAGTTGAGAAAGTTGTAATTGTTCCTGATCAACCAACACCCTCTAAGAGAATGTTCTTGTCAAATATTGACCTGTCCCTTGTTGTTTTCCAAGATTCTGCCTCCTTTTTTGATCCTCCAAGTAGCCAAATGAGCTTTTCTTATATTTGTAGCAAATTTTACAGTGCACTTAGCAAAATGCTTGTGCATTATTACTTTATGGCTGGTAGGCTAGTGCCAAGTTTGGAGGAGAATCATCGGTTTGAAATAGACTGTAATGATGCTGGTATTGTGGTTGCTGCTGCAAAAACTACTAAGAAATTGAGTGACTTTGGTGTTATTTCTGCACCTAATCCCGAGTTAAGGGAATTAGTTGTTTTCTTACATGAAGAGGGCAAAGAAGAAACTGACCTGAAAGAAAAGCCCCTTGTATCCTTACAGGTAAATGTTCTCATCAGTTTAAACACACAAAACTTTGGCTTTTTTTTGTTCCCTTGCCCCCCAAATAATTTTAATCAAGGATACATAACATAAGTGCTCAAAGTTAAATTACCTTATTTATTGCTTATGACAGCTAACACAGTTTGGATGTGGAAGTTTGGCACTTGCTTCTCACTACAACCATTGCACACTGGATGGGATATCAGTAAGAGATTTTGAGGTGAATTTGGCTGCATTAACGAGTGGTGATGACCTCATTGTAGTACCTAATGCAGATAGGACACTGCTAAGAGCTAGAAACCCTCCAATGATAAGTCATCCACATTTTGAGTATTCAAAATCTTCTGACACAGAGAACTCTTTCACTATCCGTGGTACAAGTGGTACAAATGTTAGACAATCCATGGCAGATAATCAAATTCATATGCTTTATTTATCACCACAACAAATTGCCAGCTTCAAAAAGAAAGCTCTCAAGGATAGCAACTTGAAGACCAGCACCACTTTTCAAGTTGTTGCTGCAAAAATATGGAAGGCAAGAAGTATTGCAACAAAGATGCCAAAAGATAAAGTATCCACAATGTTGTTCCCAGTAGATGTTAGGAAAAGGATTGTTCCTGAACTTCCAAATGGGTTTGCAGGTAATGCATTGGTTCCTGGCTTTGCAAGAGCAACTGTGAAGGAGCTCATGGAATTAGAAGATGCTTGTCACATAAGGAAAGTGCAAGAAGGGATTGAAAGATTGGATGATGAGTACATTAAGTCAGGTATAGATTGGTTAGAGGTGAATAAAGGGTTTCCTTGCAATGATGATAGTTTCTCCTTGGTTGCATGGTGGAGATTGGGCCTAGAGGAGCAACTTTTTGCATGGGGTAAACTAAAATGTGCCACTCCACTTGCAGTTAAGCCTGGTTTGGTCATGCTTTTGCCAGGGTCACAACATGAAGGAGGTCTTAATATATGCCTTGATTTACCTGAGGATCAAATGCAAGAGTTTTGTAGGTTAATGCTAGAAATTTAGATCTTATTTTGCATTTCTCTATTAATCGGTATGTAGCCTGCAAAATTGATAATCATTCATGGCCTATGCAATTAATTAATTCCCGTTTGATTTACAAGCTACCAAAGGTGTTTGGTTGTCTTTCTTTGATGAAGATCTATTCAAAAAATTTAAAACCTTTATTTGAAAGTCCAATTCTTTAAACGTTTTAAAGAGCAATTTTCCCGTCACACATATATATAGCATTTCTGATCAAGATCCTCAACAATTGTTCTTTTAAAACTGCAAGTGATCTCATACATTTAATTAATTTTAATGTTTAATAACTTTAATGAAAACTGTAGGTGATGTATGACAACAGAGGGAGAGAATTTATTGTGGTCCGGGACCACTATTTTTTAGGTGGTTCCTTAGTGTAAATGAAAGGATAAAATTGGAAAAGAAAAAAAATAACAGAGATAAAAAAAGAAAGAAAAAATTAGTGTTGTGAGAGAGAACACCAAATCATTAGATGATCCTGAAGCATATTAAATATTTCCCAACAGAGTCCGTGACAATGGACAAGACATATTTACCAAAACAAATATATAACTTAAAATCAAGCATAAAATAAAAATTCATTAAGCCAGGATGAATTAGGAAGACTATATAATAAAAACTCATCCATGGGAATTGTAAATATGTTACATTTTGTTGGGTCAAGTCGGACCCTCAAATCGATTGCGAAAGCGAACTAGTAAAATGGAAGAGGAGAGAGATAGAGAAGAACACGTTGAAGAAGTAAAAACCCACAACCTTCTCCCATAGACACTAGTCCAGAGTCAAACTTCTACTATAAGAATAATGGATTACAACAATTAAACATTCATAGCCTAAGAATAATGGGTTACAACAATTAAACATTCATAGTCTAAGAATAATGAGTTACAACAATTAAACATTCATAGCCTTTCACTAAAAGTACAATCAAAACTTATTACAAAAAAAAAAAAGTACAATCAAAACTTCACCAAGTATGGTGGTAATATCAAACTTCCTTAAAGAGGTATTTAGATTCTTTTTCCTATTTCATATTTTTCTCATATATCTAAACCTCACAAACTACAAGCTTATATAGGGGGAGATGATTCAAGATATTGAACCACATGTGTCCCTTGAGCCTTGCACCTTTATTTATGAAAAGATATTAAACCACTCAAAGGTTACGACCCTTGAGCCTTGCATCAAAATGGAGAGTTCCAACCTCTTGCGACTTGAGCCAAGCATTGAAGGAGGAATAACTCCCAACATATTTTAATCTATTTTAAAGAAAACAACCCTCTTAAAGGTAATGAATAACTATGAAGAAGCTAATTTTGAATTTTTTTTTTTTTTTTTTGAAATTTTAGATGATGAAATTATATTTTGAACGTTCTTATATATATGCAAACTATTAGTTCGGAAAAGGTGCTAATCATATTCCAGTTAATGATCTTCGACTCGAATAGCGTGCCGGTTTAAACTTTAAAGTGAGAATATATAATTATAAAATGTGTTTTCTTATTGGGTAATACAATTATCATCTAACAGAAAAATAATGTCACTTTCCTGCTGACATATTCATAGATGGGTTCCAAAGGAAAATTTAGTCTCACCTCATTTTCTCTTCTCTCTCCTGATTTTTTCTCTTTGGAAGCAACATTGTTTTCCTATTACATGATAATTGTATGGCTTTAATAGCTCTCATGTCACTGCAGATGGGAAAAAGTGCAGCAACACTTATTTTTATCAGAATACGGGTCCGGATCATGATGTATTTTTTTTTAGGCCAGGATACGGTCCCGTATCCTAGTGTTAATAATCTGCTGCAACTTTTCTCATCAGCAGCAAAAGGAGAAACGACGAACCCTAATTGTATTACCCTTTGTTATTTTATTCTAAAAACAGTTTTTGTACCAACAAAACCCAGCACCGATACAGTTGATAGATAGTTGGGTCCATTTAGCATGTTGATAAGGATTTGATTCATGACCGTATGTATATAAAAACTACTTTGTTGAGAGAGATTATACCTACTTCAGTGATCTTGGGTCCTCTAAGGGATCTGCTTTGGCTATAGGCTAAAAGATATTGGGAAACCAAAAAAAAATGAATAAAGTTCCAAAAACAACAATATAATAAAAAAAAGGAAAAAATTCACCAATACTCTTATAATTTGCTTCATAATCACCTATGTCCTGTGATTTTTTATTTTTCACATATGTTCATATTGTTTGTAAAAAATAAAAAACCACATGAGCATATATGGTAATAAAACATACTATCTTGCAAATCAAAGGTGCAAGGACATAAATAATTCTTGAGTAAACCACATAGAAATTAGTGAATTTTTTTTAAAAAAAAGAAAAAAAAACATAGGTAACTAAAAGTATAAAGTTTTGGATTGTGTTTACTTTATGAAAACAAGAAATCATTTTCAAAAATAAAAACAAACAGGCCCAAGTGTATTTCGTTTTGTGTTTTAGGTATACATGCAATAAACATGGCCCAAGTATATGAATTCTCCACCGTCACCTTAAATCACTGCAAGGGCTGCCTGCCTGCCACCAACATTGCCTGAACCGCCACCTCGTGGCCACCGGCGCTGCCACAGTTGCAACATAGTATCGTCAAGTTTAAAAAACTTATTATCAAAAAAGAAAATTGAAATTTTTATTCTGTAAAAAATAATTATAAGAAACAATTTTCAAAAACAAAGAAAACAAATTTTTAATGAGAAAAGATAGAGATGAGTGAAGAGAGAGAAACCAGCAAGGAGGCGAGAGATGCTACGACGGAGGAGGAAGATCTTCTCCATCGAAGCACAAAAAAACCTAAAGGCCCTGCTATGGAAGATCAACCTATGGATGATCACATGGCAGAGGAGGATATCCAGGTGAATGTGACTAGCAACGGGGGAAAAAAGAAGGAAGAGTCAGATGATTCATCTAACAGGAAGTTGGTGTCATATAAAGATTCTCTTCTTGGTTTTAATGGAGGACCCCATGTTGCTGATAGCGATGAGGAAGATTGGGTAGAAAAACTACGTAAGGAAGAGGACGAAGAAGAAGGGGATGAGGTCTTTGTTACGGTTGATGGTGAGGAGGATCCTTTTTGCCCAACGTACTCTTTTCCAAAAGCCTTGCATTTAGAAGGTTGCAGACCTTGGAGACAGGTAGTGATTGTGAAACTTCTGGGGAAGAAAGTTGGAGTTAGATTCTTACTCAATCGTTTACTGAGAATGTGGAATATCTCAGGCACATATGAGTTCATTGATATGGAGAATGACTACTTTTTGTTCCGATTTTCAAATAAGAATGATTACTCTCATGTTTTGGAGGATGGTCCTTGGATCATAGCTGATCATTATATGGTAGTTCAACGGTGGCGTCCATTTTTTAATCCTTATGATGATGAGATCAGAAAGCTGGCAGTTTGGATTCGTATTCCAGGACTTCCTATTGAATTCTATACCTCTCATCATTTGTGGAATATAGGTAGTATTTTTGGTCGCACATTGAAGATTGATAGGAACTCTATCAGGAAACGTGATTCTGGTGAAGGTGATATTACAGAGAGAGCAAAGTTTGCTAGAATTTGTGTCGAAGTTGATCTTAGGAAAGGCTTTTTGTCCAAATTCCGGATTGCTGATCGTATCTTCCATGTTGGATATGAGGGTCTCCACTTAGTTTGTTTTGCTTGTGGAAAGTATGGGCATAGAAGGGATCAGTGTTCCCATAGTAATCTTCAACAAGATACTACGGCTTATTCTCCTGAAGTTTCTGACTCGGTGGTGCATAAGCAGCCGGAAAAAGATTATGTTCTGGCGAAGGAGGAACCGTTTGGGAATTGGATGCTAGTGCAACGTAACCGTCGATCAAGGAGCATAGCACAATCAAAGGAGGAATCAAGGAGCATAGCACAATCAAAGGAGGAATCAAGGAGCATAGCACAACCAAAGGAGGAATCATTACCATCGGGTAGGAGACAAGTTGGCGTTGTTAATAATGCAGCGTTACGTAATAAGGCAGTTTCCAATTCTCATCCTAATCACAGACAGGTCATTCAATCAGGTTCAAGATTTCAAGCTATTGCTGAGTTGGCTCAAAAGGATAATAATATCTTAATTATTTCTGATTCTCCAGTGATTGATTCAATCAGCATTGAATCTGGTCTGACACGAATTAATCATGGGGAATTAATTGCTCATAATGAAGAACCGTTGGTGAAAAAGGATATTCAAATGGAAACAGTTTCTCCATCTGCTAACCTATCCGCGGGCAAGTCGAGAAAAGAGGTCCAAAGTCAAGGAGTAAAATTCAAAGAGAACCAAAAGAAGAAAGCAACTGCATCATCTGCTAAAGTTCATCAGCTGGTCCAGAATGCTAATATTAGCAAAGGCAGATTAAATGCTTCAAAAGGTGCAGAATCTCAAAAGAATAATTTTAAACTTGATTCTCAGAAGAATATGTCGGAGGATTTCCAAGATAGACAAATTGTCTTGCACCCTTCTTTATCTAAATTCCAGAGGAAGACGTCTCATGTGGTTAATGATCAGCAAGTGACTCTTCCTTCTTCTAGTGGCTTGGATAATGGAGGTAAACATGGAAGACCACCAGATGCTCTTACGTTAATGAGGAATTTTTATCAAACTCACAAGGATTCTATCCCTTTGGATAATTTGGACGTTTTGGGTGCGACTTCGGTCTATACCAATGCTCTTTCTTAGGGCCGGTTTCTGTTCGGATAAATTTAAGATTGTTTTTATGAATATTTTGACCTGGAATTGTAGAGGGGCTGGGAAAAGGAGTTTTCCGCCTCTAATTCGGGATCTTTCTCATAGATACAGTATTAAAGTTATGGCTTTGTTAGAAACCAGATTGAGTGGTGTTATGGCGGATAGAGCTATTCGGCGTCTTGGTTTTTCTGGTCACTTTCATCGTGATGCTGTTGGTTTTTCTGGCGGTATTTGGGTGCTTTGGAACACTGATGAAGTTTCAGTG